TATTGGATACTAACCTTTCCATTTGATCAAGCATATAATCGTTGATCATACCAACATCTTCATTGGTGGGGCATAAAATCTCCCTCTGTTGAAAGAAGACATGATCGTTTTTGTCCTTCAATAACTTAGGATCTCCATAAACTTCCCTGCTTATTGTCTCAATTGGATTATCAGCATCTTTGATTAAAAACTCATCAGGAATTTCTATCATCACTTCTCCATCGTTAGGCTGTGCTATCTTACCATCACCAACTGCTAGAATCCACTCTGAAAATAACACAAATGTTTGAGAGGTATGCTTTGGGTTTGAGAGCTATTTAGGAGGAGGTAACTCTTCCTTGACAGTTCTGTGATGGGAAGAGCCATTGTTTGAGAGGTATGCTTTGCGTTTGATAGCTTAGTGTGTATTGAGAATGTCGTTTGATTTCTATATTTATAAGAGATGGAGAACGTATAGGGTTGCTTAGGGTTTAGAAAATTACCGCCTAAGAGAAGATTTGAGAATAAGAATAGTTAAGGTATATACTTAATTTATTCGGATATGAAGATATAGAGTTTGTTATTATTGGTTAAACTAATAACAAATCAAGGAAATCGAATATTAAGAGATAAGTTTTCTTTGAATCATCTAAATATATGGGATTGAGTTTTTATTGAAATATCGGTTTAGTTAATTAGTGAATATAGGTTTGTTTGTTATGGAAAATATCTTTATATGCACGAATCTAATATTATGTTTTGAATTAATGCAGATCTACTAATTGCGAGAGAAATATAAAGGCCCAAGATCGACTAAGCCCAATAAGCTCATTATGCACTTCTGGATAGAGATCCGACTGCTGGCTCCAAGATCCGCTGGTAATGGATCCAAGATCCGCGTGTAATTGCCCTTGAAATTGTCCATTATACCCTCTGACGATTTCTGTTTTTTAGTCGTTGGTTTAAAATTTTCCAATAGCATTCTATTGTAATTTTTTACACTTTATAAGGTTAGTTTAGTTAGAATAATTCCCAATTAATAGTATAGATTCTAGGAATAAAAGACCTGTTTATAAAATTCCATACCCAAAATACAATATGACTCCACCACTTAAACCGTATATTGTTAACAAATTTTTTTGTCCACGTCCAATACCAATATGCCAAAGTTAAATGAAACCGATAACATCCAGTCACAGACCCCCAAGTATAAGTTTTATACAAACAAGATAAAGAACCGATCCTTTCGAGGAACGAGATAACAAATTCCTTTGCTTCCATTTGGAACATGTCCTTTACTCCGTGAAGTAAATCATTACCGCTTGATTCTGACATCAACCTTTGATTACCTTGTTGTACTAGCACTGAAACATCCTTCAAGATTGGCCGGATCTTTTGATTTCCCAACCGGAGAACTAACCCACATAACACCATCACAGGATCCCATCTCCAAATCAACCAGCAGATCAAAGAAAAATACAAGTCAATAAACCGAAGTCCCTTCCTTCTCAACCAACATCTTACTTTGATCTCTTCTTCCCATAACCCGAGCCGCTTGAATCTTTTACCCAGAATCTTCCCATCAACAACGATTATATTAAAATCTGACAAAACCAAAATCAGCCCAAAATCCACCAAATCAAATCGACTAACCGGGAGCAATTTAATAGAGATCCACCGAGACCGAGAGATTTCTATGATCTCTACAGCCCAAAAACTGAACCTTATGTATCTTATACCCAGAAACTCCAAAACAGTTCCGAGATTAATACCATCTAACAAATTCGAAAACAGCCCAAGATCCACCAAATCAATTCGAAAAACAGAGATCAACCGAATAGAAAACCATTTGGAACCAGAGATTAACCGTAAGGGAACAATCAAATTGAATCCGCTCACCAAGCTAAGAAACAACCGAGATCCACCTTCTCATGGTTGGGTGTTAAAACCCTAGAGTTCCATCCTCGTCGCCGTCGGGAGCGTCGGGAGCGATTTTGGGTGTTAGTTCATATTATAGTATTAGTTATTTTATTTGAGAAATAGGTAAAGATAGTATTTACCAACTAAAAAATACACATTTAGAATTTGAGAATATATTTGTTAAGTTTAAAGTATTAATTCATGATACCAACTAAAAAATAAGAAGGAATGAATACATATTATCATTTATAATTATAATATAATATAAATAGTTAAATTAATAAATATGTATATATTATTAATGTTTTCTCAATTAAAAGTGAACATTTTTTATATAAAAAAATGAATACCTAAGAAAGAAAAACTAATTATTAATCAGTGTTTAGAAAATTAACATAGATTGAAAATAATGAAGCTGATTTGAAACAAAACAAAAAAATATCCTAAACATCACAAATAAAAATAAAATAATCTACTCGAATAATAAAACTTTCTAATAATAATATTTGAGAATGCTTTAGAAATAACAATGATTTTGTTATAAAAATAGACGTATTTAAATACTAGAATAATTTTTATTATTTTTTAATTTACATATTTTAGAAAACTATCCTAAACATCACAAATAAAAATAAAATAATCGTATATTTCAAACAGTCAAGATAAAGTGAAAATATTGATATTAAAATCCGATGTTTGTGAATATATAAGAATGAGTTTATATATGTAATATGTTTTTTATAAAACAATTTTACATGCACCAAAACATGGCTAAAAAAAACTTATGACAAAATATTTTCTCAAATTTTCTGATGGTTACTTTAGTAAAAAGATCATGCAACGTTTAAAATAGAATTGAGTATTCAAAGATAGAAAGGATAAAAGATATACAATCTATCTTAAGAACTAATTCACAATTGAGTATATTCTATGTGAGTCAATATAAGGTGAAAAAGAGTCGATGTCGGGAGACGATCAGTATATCATAGAAGATAACGAGAAAAATTGTAGTGAAAAGTGAGAGAATATTTTTACTACTTTGGAAAGATAATGCCCATGAATAAAGTAAAATTGGAAAAAAAAAATATAGTAAAAAAAATAAAATTTAATTGATTAGATTTATATTCAAAGATTCGTATTGATAAAAAAATTAAAACTAAAATTAATCTAGTATATATAATGAGAGAGTTTTCTCTCCTCTTAAAGTGTCCACATCATCATGTTAAACATCCAATTAAATAAAACCATGTCATTAGTTGATTTTTTTAACAATAAAGTCTAATTACAATGTTCATTTAATTCATATTTATTTATATTAATGTTAATTATAATTAACAGAAATTATAATTAAATTAAAAAAAAATTAAATAAAATAAATGAAATTTTAAAATTGTTAAAGTAATACTATGAAAATTTTATTAGTAATAATAATATTGTTCAATTTTCAACATAAAAAAAAATTAAAATGATCATATTTTAAATTTTTTGAATGTGTTAAATGAGTTTTAGTATGGAAGTAAAATTTAAATGCATAGTAGAGTAAAAAAAATTATGTAGTTATTTCTGTAATTTTAAATAAAAATATAATCTAAAGTAAAACATTAATTTGTAAGAGCACTATATTACAAAAAAAAATTCTTTATTATGAAATATTCACTTAAGAAAAAATTACTAAATCCAACTTACAAATGAGATACAACATAGATATTAGTCTAATTTTCAAATGAGATACAACATAGATATTAGTCTAATGAGATACAACATAGATATTAGTCTAATGAGATACAACATAGATATTAGTCTAATTTATTATACATTTTTTTCAAATGAGATACAACATAGATATTAGTCTAATTTTTAATATCCTATACTATTATTTGGGAAGTACAATTTACAATTACCCTTAATTAACTTTCCCCTTTGTAAGAATTTACTTAAGAATACCCTTAGAAATAAAATTTTATAGAGTAAATTAATTTAAAAATGTGTGTAATTTATTATTGAAAATAAACGGCATGGCAATCGATTCATTTTTTTAATTCTCGTGCGATTGAACTAAAAAAAAAAATCAAGGACATGTCGACTGTCGTAATAAAGTAGCACTTGTTTGGTTAAAGAATAAAAATACCACATGCTTTTTATCATTTTAAAAAAATTGTGGTCAGAGTTTTTGTGTACATATATCTTCTTTGGGGGAGTGAAGCTCTCATCCATCACATGTTCTTTTTTTGTGACCCCTACTTTTTTGGTTACCAATCAACCCTCTTTTTTCTCTCTTCTACTTTCTTACAGTAGAAAAAAATAACGACTAAGAAAAATAAAACTATCACAATTCACAATGACATGAATACGTGCAAGTGCAATCCCATACAAGTACAATTTAATTTTCATTACCTTTGTCCCCAAAAAAAAACTATATATTTAATTTCATTGCCAACATCGAGATATATAAACCCTTTTTGCTAGATATGTATAATAGACCTTTCATGAATCAATTTAAGAGTAATTTGAACCAACCTTGGTGCTTTTTTAATACAAATGAAAATAAACTTTTCATTCAAAAAAATAAAAAGAAAAGTGACGTATGTAATGACACATGACTTCTTAGTTAGTCTATAGATCCGTGGAGCCAGAGATTAACCGTAAGGGAACAATCATCTGTTAGTCTATAAATGCATCTTATAATTTAAGAAAAAAAAAGATTAATTAGTTTAGAAAATGTGTGTAATTTATTATTGAAAATTTTACTTTCTTGTGTAATTTAGCAATTTTTTCAAAACTGTTAATCTCTGGTTCCAAATGGTTTTCTATTCGGTTGATCTCTGTTTTTCGAATTGATTTGGTGGATCTTGGGCTGTTTTCGAATTTGTTAGATGGTATTAATCTCGGAACTGTTTTGGAGTTTCTGGGTATAAGATACATAAGGGTTTTCGAATTTGTTAGATGGTATTAATCTCGGAACTGTTTTAGAGTTTCTAGGAAAAAGAACCGTCCAAATAGTAGGGGTGGAAATAAGCCTTTTTCCCAATTAAGGCCATTGAAAGTTTATGCGTTTTGATTATGCTAATTAGGATAAAACTCAGCAATAAAAAAATTCTGAAAAATATAATTTTTTTCTGAAAGTTAGTGGATATAATAATGTATTATACATGATATCGATTGAGAAAAAATAATATCTATATCGAATGCAAAATACGAAAAAAAAATGAAGACAACAAGTAAAATTTTCAAGACATACTGTTAGACATTAAAAAAAGTTGATGTGTATAAATTTTTGAAATGTGTGTTGCGTGTCGAATTAAGACACATGGTAGATTAAGAATTGTAAGTGTGTGATTTACCTTCCAACTCGCCCATTTTTGTGCAACTTTACCTTCCATCTCCGAAAAATGCATATTAATTCTACGAAGTCCAAAATAATATGCAATATAAACCTTATACGTATATTTTTAACGTTTCTCCGATCACATACATTAGTTTTTAAAAATTCTATAAATAGAGTTGAATTCTTCATCGCGAGGGCTTCAATTTGACATAATATTTATCAAAATTTTACGAACTTGACGGTTGCAAATAAGGGTTACATTGCGTATTAGTTTGGACTTCGTAGGATTAATCTACATTTTTCGGAAGTTCAGGGTAAAGTTGTAAAAATAGGGGAGTCGGAGGATTTTTTTGCACAAAACTCTTTATCTTTATTGAGTAGACGTTTGTGAACCAAAGTAAGGTAGCTAGCTAGAGTTCCTACCATGTTTATGCTTAATTAGTTTTTAGACAAATTTAAAAAACTTATCTTAGCTAAAGAATATTATTATTTAAGCACGTATAAGAAAATCATATATATAATCTATAAGTTTTATATTAAACCTATATTAATCTAGAGTAGTCTAGTGATCTAACTCTTCTGTATCATCACATTTCATTGGCTTAATTAGATTAAGATTTGAATTCTTCTAATCACTCTAGTTAGTAAAAGAAAAACATTGCACAGGAACCAAATGTGTGCCTGTAGCAATGCTATTAGACCAACACATCTTACCGAGTTAAAGTAAAAACTTTCAAAAGATTCATATGAACAAAATAAACGAAAGTATGTATGAAAAGGACATTTAGTAATGAGAGCAAGCTGTGTGGATCTTTAAAAGAAGTATGGTAATTTAAAATACTTCATAAATTCTATTACCCAAAATTAAAAAGAATCATATTTCAATACTAGAAAATGGGCTTATGGTTGTAATTGTTACATGCAGAAATTTATATAGATACTTCGAACTTTTTTAAAAAAAGGAATGTAGGTAAAAGTTTATTTTATTTTTATATAGGCAGGGGCCTGATTATATGCATGCGAACAATTTGTCATTCCGAATAAGTTTCGTTCCTCCAAGCAAATAGCGCATGTTTCCATGTTTGGTTCTTGAATTCGAAGGGAGATATATATACCAGTACAATGGCCCTGGAACTCGCTCGGCTTCGAATGCGATCTTGAAGGAGAGAATAATGCATAAGTTGGTATCTTGGAGGGTGGGATTTAGGAGAAGATACATGTTGTGTTCATCAAAACTAACGATGTTGTTTAAAAGGTTGGGAACGGAGGAGGGATGCTTGATCCACGTTTCCACGTCTTACTCTGATATCCATTGTGTTTGATGTAGATTTGTGCATAACGATTGCATCAATTCTCAAGTGTTTTTCAATCTCACTCATTCCTTGGAGTTAGTGGAGAGAACAAAAAAAGAAAGATAATCTTGAAGGAAATAAGTACTCAACGGGTTCAATGGAAAAGAAAGAATGAGAGTGTGATTAAATCAATACAACTAAACTAACATCAAGTCTCTCCAGTTTGATACATCAGCTTTTGCAGCTTTTGTGTGTCTGATACTTCATTAAAATTCTGCTCCAATAAATAAATAAATATATATATATATATATATATATATATATATATATAAATAAGATATGTGGAGCCAACAAAATTTTTTTATCATGATATAGATGCTGATGTGGACACTTTAAGAGGAGAGCAACTCTCCCATTATATATATATATGCTGTT